ATTGCCTGAGACATCAAAATAGGATTCAGCTTAGACGAGTAATTTGCAAGGTGCTATATTTTAGGTAATAGCTCCGAGTTGTCTGATCCAGTGTCTCAGCTGCAGCATTGAGGGGAGATGATTGAAAAACCTGAGCTGCTGGTGAAGAGTTCATTTGTCTCTAAAGCTGCAGATTGCACAGAGCATCCTCAATAGTGTTGATTTTGCTGATCCATCCCCAGCGTTAGCAGTTGGCAACCTGAAGCAGGGAGCAAAATCAAATATATGTATTTATCAACTAGTAAGTGCTTGCAGATCCTGGGACGTCTCAGGCAGGAACAGCTGAGGGTACAGAGCCTGAAATTTGGGATAAATGATGGAACACGTGGAGAAAGGAGCCACCAACCCAAATGAATGGCAGAGATTTCCCTGAGTTCAGCAGGACTGCCTGGCACTGGGATCAGCTCTCCCAGGCAGCAGCACAGGGCTCTGAGTGTTTATTTAGCTCCACTAGAAATGTGAAGTGTGGCCATCACTGAGCTCAGCCAGGCCAACCTGCAGGGCTCAGTGCTGTGTGCCATTAGTGCCAGATTTATTGCTCCTCACAGTCTCCCTTTCTCCAGCTCCACAGAACACATAAGGCTGCATTTACATTTTCTGAATGGACTAATCATGGCTCTCTGCTTTGATAAAGAAAGTGCAGCCTCCCACATAACCACATGGAAACCAACAGGGAAGAGTAAACCAGAAATAAACCCATTCTGGGGGGTTGAGAGAAAAATACCCACCAGGATAATTGGGAGGGATGTACAGAGAAGCAGCAACTGAACACATAGTCACATCTTAAAAAGAAAATAAATTATAATGCTAAAAATATCCAGGTGAAGGACAGCAAGAGAAAACATGATTGAAGTGGAACAATTGGTAGAGGAGTTAATAGTTATTAGCAATCATTTCAGATTGAATATAGGCTGGTTTTGTAACAGCACAAGGGATGATGCATCTGACAGGACTTAAACAATTGCCTCCCCCTTTCCCAAAGAGCCTTTTAGCAGTGCCCTGGCACAAACAGAGCAGTCTCTGCTCCCCAGGAGTTGGCCAAAGCAAAGAGAGTTACTGGAAGTTTTTGGTTGTTAACTACAGTGAAGTTTGATCCCAGACAAGTCTTTCCTCCCTGTATTCCAGACCTTAGCACATTTTAACACTGATCCCACTGTATGTTCCCCTGTAGCCTTTAAGGACTAACCCTGAGGGGTCAGGCAAAGTCCCACCAGTCTGGTGCCTTTTAGCCACCAGTGTCCAAGAGCCACTGCCTGGGCAAGAGTGTAAAAATGGAGCAATATGGATGATATTCTTGAAAATAACCTCCCATCATCCAACTGTTCACTGTGCCAGGGTGGTTTCTATGCATTTATTAACCATCACTGGAATTCCTTCCCTGGGAATTGAAATTCCCCACTGTCTCCTTGACCCTGGGTCACTTGGGAAACATTTTGCATCCAGCCATCCTGTGGCCAGAAGCTTTACAGCTGAGTGTGGACATACTCCCTGTCCTGCATCTGCTGGCACTGGGATCTCAGCTCTGGGCATGTGGGAAAGCCAACACTCAGCTCCAGATTCCCTCAGTGTTCCCAGGGAATTTGTGCCCAGAGGGAGAAACTGCAAACGAGTTATGATGAAAGGATTTAAGGGGCCTGAGCCAAATCCATCCTGCTCACATCTGAAGAGCTACAAAACCTTGTGCATTTGGAGATAAGTACTTTTCAAAGGGTTTTCTTGTTGTTGTTTCAGGGATTTTGTGTGTAATGTTTGTTCTAGAATATTGCTGGTGAGTAAAAGGGTATGTCCAGCACAGGGGTGCTAAAGACAAGTGAGCAAATGCTCTGCAGAGACAGAACTCAGGGCTTAGGAGCTCATTCCATGGCTCCTTTCACACGGTGGAAAGAAGTGCCCAAAGTTTTTCCAAGTAATGTGGAATCCTGCTTTCTTCTGGAGGAAGCTTGGTTTTTGTTTCCATCCAAATGCTGAGAGAACAATCCCATGTATTTCTCATTCCAAGGGTGACAGAGCCTGGGGTGAGTGAGTCCATACCTGGCCAGGGAGGGTTTTACAGTCCCAGGGTGATGTGGTTGTGACACAGGGCAGAGCTTTATCTGTGCCAGGGGATTAAAACTTCCAATCTCTGCTCTCCGTGAGCAGGGACAGGACCCAGGGAATGGCTGGAGCTGTGTCAGGGAGGGTCAGGTTGGATCTCAGGGAAAGGTTCTTCCCCCAGAGGCTGGTTGGGCACTGCCCAGGCTCCCCAGGGCAGTGGGCACAGCCCCAAGGCTGCCAGAGCTCCAGGAGGGTTTGGACAACGCTCTGAGGGCCAGGGTGGGATTGTTGGGGTGTCTGTGCAGGGCCAGGGTTGGACTGGATGATCCCTGTGGGTCCCTTCCAGCTCAGGATACTCTGTGATTCTATAAGCTTGGTTTTGAATTCCAAAGTTTTAGTGAGACAGAGGATGAGAGGGTGGAGATTTGCTGATTTAACACAAAGGATGGATTTTAGGAGAAGAACACCCAGGGAATCGTGCTTTTTGTGCTAAACCTGAGTCATTGAGGGGGAATAGCTTAGTCACAGGTCCTCACTGGTCTGTGCAGACCCTTCAGCCGGGGGCTGTTGTGTTCCAGCTGCATTTCCCAGCAGGTTTGTAACCTGTGTTCCCCCTGCCCAGTGCCTGGAGCCTTTGCTGACAGTGGCACAGCCCGAGGGAGGTGGGGGGAACACACTGAACCAGCAATGAAGTGCCATTAGAGCAAAAGCTGAGTATTTCTGCCAGGCAGGTGTCTCACACTCCAGCCAAGCTGGAGGAGGTTAGAGTGCAATCTGTGAGCCCCTGCACACAGGCAGGGCTGCAGAGCCAGGGATGCCCAGCTGTGCCTCCCCTCGGGGAGCAGGGCACGAGAAATCACCTTGGCACGGCAGGCTGGGGGGGATGGAACCCCTCAGTGCAGCAGTGCCAGGGTGGGCACGAGGGAGGGACACTGTGTGACCACTCATCTCACCCAAATCCAGAGGGTGAGAGTGGCACAGAAGCAAAATGCCCCAGGGAGAGGCTGTCTGGGTGTGGGTACAACCCATGGCACCTGCAGCACACCCCACACTGAGCGTTCACAGGCTCCTGAGGGCTCACCAGCTTCTCTCTGAAGTCTGAAACATGCACTTTTACAGAGTGCCAGCCTGAACCTCCTCCTCATTCACCTGCCACCTCGGTGCCTGTGTGCCTGGGAAAGCCACACACACAGATAAAACCAGGGCAGATTGACACACTGGATTTACACTCATGTACCTGCAGGAAACAAATGCTTCTGGGGGGTGTTTCCTGCAAGGTGGCACACTGTGCAAGGCAACTCACTTAACCCATGGCACACACCTGCTCTGGAGCTGTTTCCAGAAACATTAAAGGGGAGGGCAGGCCCCAAACTCACACCTTCGTGAGTTCAAACAGCCCCAGGAGATTTGAAGCCTGCACTTCTTTCCCCAGCATATTTCCCTGTCATGACATACACCCTCCATGCAAGGAAAAGATGACCCCATGGTGCACAAATCAGTGGAAAGTGCTCTTACAAAAACTCTGTTCAGAAGTAAAGAAGAAAGGCTTGAATGTCACAGAATTTCCACAGCGTGGAAAAGAAGTTCAGTGGGGGAAAAAATAACAAGTACAGCGCTCTGTACACTTATTTGATGGAGCCAGAAGTATTGTCAAGAGGTTGGTTTTTTTCTAGATTGCTACAAGCAATTAATGGACTTTTACTTTGACAGAGATAAAACCCCACAGGCACAGGATTGTGAATCCCTGACACCACTGTGTGTTCCGAGAACAGCAATCCCATGGAACAGGGGACACGCAGGAAATCCAACTCACCCTACTCAGAGGTGAATTGTAATCCCTTTGACCAGTTATATTGTAATCTTGTGGCTGGTTAGTTATGAAACAACCGAGTTATCTTTCATTTTTCCCGTGAGCTCTACTGGAAGAGCAGGGATTCGTGTTCCTGGGAGCTCTGGGGCTCCACGTTTTGCATGTGGGAAAGTGAGAGAGAGACTTGGGAATGAAGTGAGGATGTGTTATCTGTGCAGAGACAACCCACAGACAACAACCTGGACCAAAAACCCTCCAGCACTGATTAGGGCCCAGTGCCACCCTAGTGCCTGATTCCCTGCCCTAAAACCCTGCTTTTCACTGCTTTCAAAAAGCTGGGTGAAACTTAGAACTGGAGGGCAATGGAAAAAAAATACTGATATACAAACAGGAAGGGTTCAGGTGTCCCTCGTGCCACAAAGGTGACTGTAAACCCTGCACAAAATCTGCTTGCAACATTCAGAGAATATTTCTGAAAGGGTTCCTTCCAGGGCTTCTTTGGGAAAAGGTGACAGATCTCCCCCCCTTCAGCAGGAAAGGTTGTTCAGGGGTGGAACTGAGAAGGAAATCTGAAGGGATAGGAGTTTTCCTTTACCGTGTGTGAAAAATTGAATGTCTTACGAGAAAAAGGAGTGTTTTCCCTCAAACAGTTTGACTGAAGAGTCTTCTTCCCCGGGGAAAGAGAATGTACCTACATTATATCCTCTCTACACATCCTCCTCCTACAGCCCTGCCTGTCACTCTCCTTCCATTGTGTCTGTGTGAGAGCAGTGTTAAGCATCAAACTTCTAAAAATGAACCCAGCTTCTTAGCAACTCTAAATGCCTCTTTAGCATACAATAACAACTGTTTATGGGCTTGCAGTGAGTGGTTTAGATGAAGAAATGAGGCAGCCTGACTTTTTTCAATTTGAAAACTCGCTTTCACCTATTCTGTTGGAGAAGAGAACAGCTTAATGGGTCTTTTGGTACAATGACAAATATTTTCCTTTTTCTCCTGTCTTTATTTACATCTCTAGGCAGTGGTGATCACAGCAGCCCTGTGAATACACTCTCTGTATTCCCTTATTCACAACATTTGTATTTCTTGAGGAAAAGCATCGTCAGGTATCTCTTACCTTCAAGCCATACGAATCCCTCGAGCAGAGGTGTGAGCACTTCGTGCCAAATATATCCAAAACGCCACAACTCTCCACCGTGGCTTTCCCCAAGCTCTCCAGGGCCTCCGAGCAGACTTTTTGGCGTTCGGCGTTCACGCACGAGCAGAGGAGCAAAAAAAAGAGAAAGAATCACCTGCCTGATCCCCGCCAGCCGGGACCGGTGCAGGTGGAACTTGTGTAACCCCAGGCTGAGCTGGCGACTGCTGGAACTTCAGGAGCTCGGGAAGCGGCTCAGCTTCCCGGGAAGAGGCGATCTCGGCAGGGACCCGCTGTCCATCTCGCTCAGCGCATCGCCGGCTGGAACAGCAGCAGCTCCGTCTCCATCTCCCGGAGCCCAGACCTGGCTGAGCCGGCGCTCAGAGCCGCCCCTTCTCCTCCCGCGGCGCGATCCCAACAACCTGTTCCCCCTCCGGCTCCCTCGGCTGCCCGCGGGGTGCGAAATTCCCGCAGCGCTTCCCTCTCTGCCTCGCCTGATGCTGGGAGGGAGGGGAGGGGAAGGGAAGGGAGGGGAGGGGGCCAAGTTTCCTTCCCCCGGATCCCTCCGGCTCCCGCGGGCGGGACGGGCGGCTCCAGCGCCGGGAACGCGGGACCGGCTCAGCACCGGGACAGCGCCGGGTGCCGGGGGGGCTCCGAGGGCCGCGGGGACAGGAGGAGAGCGGGCTTCCACCGCCGGGGACTCGCGGGGCAACGAGCCCTTCCCCGCCCGGCTGCCCTGCCCTGCCCTGCGCACGCACTGCCAGGTGAGCGCCGGGGATGCTCCTCCCGGGATGCTCTGCCAGGGATGCTCCTCCCGGGATGCTGCTCCCGGGATGCTCTGCTAGGGATGCTCTGCCAGGGATGCTGCTCCCGGGATGCTGTTCCCGGGATGCTCTGCCAGGGATGCTGCTCCCGGGATGCTGCTCCCGGGATGCTCTGCCAGGGATGGCCCTGGAACGCCGGGTACCCTCCGAGCTCCAAGATTCCCGCTGCCTCTGCACAGCTGTAGGGTTTGGCAGGGAAAACACGGAATGACCCACTGCTAAGACAGGAAAGCAGGAATTTCTGAGGAAGCTGAGCGTGGTGGTTGTTCCCGGCGTTAACAGCTCGCACAGCTCCCGTGTAAAGGAAGAGGGCACTGCCAAGGAGGGGCATCACTCACCTGCATCCTTCCCCGGCAGAGTCCCAGCACGTCCCGGGGATTTGCTGAGCTCCCGGGCTGAGAGCTCGGCGGGGCTCCGCGTTAAACGCTCTGTAATGGGAAATAGATCCTCTTTGCAATTCAAATACCGAGAGAAACCATTTCCTGAAAGTGTAGCTGCTGTTGCAATATTTTAATATCTTAGAGTTTAATATCCTTGAGACTGCCTCGCTCTCAAAGCATTAGCAGCCCATAATTTGAAGTGTTTCCTAAGAAAGCTCTTTTTTTCTTATTCTTCCCCCCCCCCCCCCCGAAATGGCTTGATATCTTTTCTGAATGTGTTTCTCATCTCACCAAATAGCACTAGACAGAGAGATAACAGGAAGAAACCCATCTCTCTGGTTGGGTTTTAAGGAAATTCAGTTTCTGCAGAATTTTCTTCAAAGGAGTGGATCTCAAATGCTGCTTTCAGCCTTTCCTGGCAGTGAAACCCTAAAGCTCCCGACCCCTTTGGGGTGCTGCATACCCAAACTGTTGTGTGTACACACACTGTCCTTTCTGAGTCATCTTTAGTGCTAAAGTCAAACTGAATTCTCCCGAACTTTCCAAGTGTTATTGCAATAATTTCCTTTTTTTATTCAATTAATGTTCCACTGTGAGTTTTGCAGTGCCAAGAGAGCCAAATAAATACTAGAGCTGGGTATATAGAGAGCAATTATTTCTCCTGAAAAGCAGGACGGGAATGGTTTTGTACATTTTGCTTGCCTCAAAATGATTACATTTATTTAATGGATGGACAACACTCCTTTGAGATGTTTATGCTTTCTTTGAGGCCAAGAAGGACCTGTCCTCTCTTAGACTCCTTGGGCTTCTGGTTGTGTCACAAGATGTTTTCCATCCAGCCATCTATAAGAAAATGAACTATACTCTGAGTCAGGAAAACAGCAATTTAATAACTCAGAACTGGGAAAGGTGTTTAATGGACGAGCTCTGAGTCTCACTGACTCTGCCATCTGCCTCAGCCCTTTGATTTACAGTGTGGATGTGTTTAACTGCTTGTAAAACTCAGAGCTGGGTGTTGCTGCTGCTGCTACATTATTTTTTTTTTTTTTTTTTTTTTTGCAGTCCTGCTAAAGAGAAAAGCTTTTATTTTTTTCCACTGGAAAACTATGAATTAAAGCAATGGCTGGTCTGATGGGAGATGTGTGATAAATCACAGCTGCCTGGGCCAGAAATGCAGCTCGTCTGTTAGTCTGGAATGGGAAGAGCTGCAGAAAACTGCAGGAGATTTTAATGGGTGATGTAGCTGTCCTTGGGAAGTTTAAAGTGAGATTCATTTCCCTTGAATTTTGTATCAAGGATTTCAATAAATGCCCTGGAGTTAGATGAATCATGGGAGAAAATAAAGCACAATAACAAGAAAAACTGACTTCTAAAAAAAAAAACTCAGCCCTGAACCTGAAGCCAAAACAAAATGAAACTTCAAACCCACAAGTAGAACCTTCTCAAGAGAAGCAAAACCTTCTCCTTTCGGGGCATTTCTGGTTTGTGGAGAACAGTTCCTGGGGCAAATCTCCTGAGTGTTCTGCAGCATTTCCTCACCATGTGTTCACTTTTTCTGCTTCTTTAACAGGAGACTCAGTCCTCTGAGCAGCACAGGGAGATAAGAGGCCTCCTGCACTGCACCATGTCACTGCAAAAGGGAGCTGGCAGTGGAACATCAGTCACTGAGATCCTCAGCACGAGGCACTTCATTAATTCACTGCTCCATCACATGCTGCTGGTGGGGAAGCCTTTGGAGAGACAGAGGGGCTTGGCTGACAGCTGGATTTCTCTGATGCAAGGAGGAGTTGGCCACAAATGCAGAAGGGCAAATGCTTCTGACTGCCCTGGGGACAAGGCAGAGGTTTCTTAGGGGCCAGTCCTGAACTGTGGAATGAGCTTCCCTTCAAGTTTATCACAGCTTTGCTGCTTTCTGTGTCAGGCCCATCTCTTTGGTTTTGCCTTTCTGGTATCAGCATTCGATAGATATAAAAATAAGGAAGATCCTCAGAGCAAACCAGTGAACACAGTTCATTCTCATGAGGAAAAAAACCCCACCCAAACTCCTTAGCACTGATTAATTGACACAAGTGCATCACACAGGATGCTCAGGTCTCACACAGAGTGTGCCACATGAAAACTCCCCGTTTCAGTGCAGTGCTCCTTGGCTCATGGGGGTTGCTCAGCACCTTGTCTGGAGCAGTGGTTCTGCAGGCTCCTAAAACTGCCCTTCTCTGTGGGTCAGTGCTGTGCAGGGAGCAGGACAGGCTGAGAAGTGCCCAGGCTATGGAACCCCAGCAGCTCCTTCCTCTACGGCCCCTGCAGCCAGCTCTGGATTTGGCAACTGGAACCCCAGTCAAGGGCCAAAACCCAAGTCCCCCTTGCCCTGGTTTGCCTCAGTCTGCCTCCCTTTCTGTGCACCTCCAGCAGCCAGGAAGGTGGAGGTGGATCCACGTGGATCCTGGCTGGAATTTGGCAGTTCTCCTCTCCCCTCACGTGCTCCCTCCCGGAGCTGCTGCAGAGCCACTGGGCTGCAGGTTGTGCCACCTCTGCTATAAACACATAAACCAGCACATTAGCATCTTCTGCTCTCTCTCAGGGTAGACCTCTATGTGACTCCTGAATAAAAGACCTGCAGCTCAGGAAGGCAGATTAGTCATAATGAGCCTTGTGAACTCGAATGCTCTGCAGCTCCTTCATCTTTTCTGCCAAAACAAGCAACATTACCAGAGTCTTGTGCACACTTGTAGTGCAGGGGGAGACTTTGCTCTCCTCAGCAGAGCAGGCACAGAGAATTATTGGTCAGAATTGGCTTCTGGGAAATGATTATCTCCGTGCCTTGCACTGGGGCAGGAAAGCTCATTAGTCCTGCCAGAGAAAGCACCCACTGCTTGGGACAGACTGGCCTTTAAAAGCAGGATGTAAAATCTAACCTTGGCAAAGTCTGGCTCTAGACATGGCTGCAGAGAATGTCTGAACCAGTCCCACAGAGCCACAGCCCATCAGGAAGTGTCCTGTCAAATATCCTGTGCCTTTAACAGGCAGGCAGCAGGTGGGAGAGTGAGGGGCTGCATCAGGAGTACCCGAGGATCTGAGGGCATGGCTTGTTCTTCCAGTGCTACAAATTCCAAAGAATTCTGTTCCTACAGGGATAAACTGCCACTTTGGGTCCCTGAGAGCTGACACAAAGAGGTACCCAGAGGGTCCTCCCTTGCTGTCTGTGGGCTGTAGCCCTGTGGAGTACATCACTCGTCCCATCCTGCTGATCCCAAAGGGATTTTGGTGCTCCAGAGAGATTTTGGTGCTGCGTTCCCAGAGTGTTTGGGCTCAGATCCACCCTGGCCATGCAACCCTGGGAATGACTGAATCGGCTCATTTCAGGTTTAAGGAATCAATAGTCTTGGGCTGTAATTTCTTCAGAAGCCCAGATGGATATTGATATCTCTGGGAAGGAAATGAATCCTCAGCTTCTTGTACCTTTCCAGAGGTGGGCCAGGAAAATGCTGGTTTCTCCCGTGACTCAATAATGTCAATAGCAGAGTCAATAGTGGGCCTGACATATTTTTTCCAAAAGCAAAGCACCAGAAAGTTCTAATATTAGAGAAGATTGAAAAAAGGTTCCTGACCTGCCTCTGCCACTGATCCACTGTGGGGCACTGGGCATGTTTTTACATTTTCCCTGTCTTAGCCTAAAGTTAGGACAAAGTTTTGGATTAACATGGACTTGGGAATTTATATATTAATCAGCATCTGATTTCTTCCTGTTCCTTACTGTTGCTTTTATCCTCTAAAGTGGTCTGTGCCATTCCCACAGGATCCCTGACTGAGGAAATGCTGTCAGTGCATATTCAAATAAACCAAAATTTGCTGTGGATATGTTTATAAAAACACTGGCTGAGCTCTCTG